TTTTTTGTCGTAGTACTGTTCATCTTAGTAATGGAGCGCCTACATGACATTATCGCAGGATTCTCACCTTACTCATATTTTCCTGCCCGGACTAGACATAGTGGTGGAGCTCTTTTTGATGAATTACACTCCAGCACAAGGGGCCCTTTTTATTAAAAATGCCCTCTATCTTGAAAAACATCAACCTGCATTGCCTGCACTATTTCATTGGATTTTCTCCAAATTTCCCCATCCCCTGTTCTTTTCCCTTCAAATTAAAGCAGACTGAACAAAGGCATGATATGTCTTCCCAGGATGACAAGTTGGCAGACAAGGCCAGCCGCAGGAGTTGCTGTAGTAGAAATAGACAGACAGGGCTCAAATCTTACCCGAGCTCAACAAGATCTTTGATAAGTATGTGTATAGAGAGAACTCTAAATTATTCTTCTTTTTACCAAAAGCCAAGGACATAGATAACTTTAAAAGCTATCGTAAACATGGTTTTGCAACTATTGCAAGAGAAAGAGAATTTTCATCTTTTCATGCTGAGCATTATGTTAACATTGCCATGTTAACATTATTAACTCTTAAATCTTTTGAAAGAGATTTTCAGAAGTTGCAATGTTTTAAAGTTAATCCACCTAAATATTTCGTTCTTTCGTTTGTATTTTCGGTCTTTCATGACATTTAAAATATTTAAGACATTGTGTGACTACATAAAGGATTGTGATTTGTAAGAGTTGAAAAACAGTTACTGTTATTGCAAGCCTGGGCCGCTGGGACAGGGTGTTAAAAATGTGAAGAGGCTGCATGTCAAAGACTCAATCATCCTCAGTATGTGGCCTGGCCCTGGAAAGCACAATGACCTATTGGGACATACAAAAGAAACCTTAAAATCTAAAAACATTTTTGGTCCAGCTGAAATCTTAACACTGCATAAGTTTACTACCTTTGCTTTTTAATGTCTGCAGATTGTTTTTCGTTTAATTTCTATACCAATAAAATCCCTTTTGTTTGCCCAAGAAATTGAACTGCTATTCTGTATTCTTCCTGGTTACGCTACCCCAGGAGTAACTAACCTTGGTTATTTCCCGCTCTCTGTACAGTACAGACAATGAAAATAACTTTGAAGCTGATCAATGCTGTGCATCCTGCATATGTATTACATCTACTCTGCATGCAGCCCGGCCAGTTTTCCGTTCAACAATTTGCCATGTTAGAACTGACACACCAAGTCAAGCCATGGTGCGCTTTTGACTAATCAGACATACTGTGACAGAAATTCTGGTTGTAATAACAGTTCACTTGCAATGCAAACATTAAGTAGAAGTAGGGGATAGATTCATGCTCATGTTTAGCTGCAGCTGTGTGCCTTTTAAAGTATTCCCTGTTTATGCTTCCTGATATGACGGAGCCGCTGACTCGTGTAATAACTCCTTTGGGGTCTCTCACCCTGTTTTTATCAACGGTTTGCATTTTTCACAGCCCGGGAACATTTGCCAATAATCTAAATCATAAATAGCAGCAGTACATTCCATGCTCATATTCCATTTTTTCAGTGAAATGCACAGTTCCACAAAGCACTATAGCATGAATAGCTTCCCCCCCCCTGGTAAGGCTAGGCACTTCTTTCTGTGGGCAGATGTATGTTACAAACCTTGAAGTTGCTGCAGGTGAATTTAGGAGGAAATAGAACAAATCTTCAGATGTTCACCTCAAAATATAATATGACAGACGTCTCAGTCCTCCTCTGTACAATCCCTAGGGTAACTGCTAGATGTGATTGACAGGATGGTGTCATGCTTCATTGAATCAATTGGTTTCCACCATATAGTTACTTTATACTAGACCTAGAGGGAAGCTACACTATTTTCTGCCTGAGAGATGGAGTGATTTAGGGGCTCAACCGCATGTCACATTTACAAAGGTTGGGAATCAGCAGTAGTTAGATTTGTACAGTATTTTCTTGATCTTTACACTCTTTACTGTATGCAAAGAAGAGGCTGTTAAGCAAAATTTATAAAACTTTTTTGGAACTCCAGTTTTTTCAAAATCTAGATGATAACTCAGTATGGAATAGTGTTGCTGCATCACTGCAAGGACATGCACAACACTTAATTCAATTCTACTGCAAAGTCCCCAAACACAGCCCTTTATCTCTGAACACAAGCACCTGAACTCATACAAACTGTGCCTCCCACCCCAGTGAATCAGTACATGAGAAAATTGGTGCCATGTCAGCAGCCACAAAGGGACCTCCTCTCAGGTGATCTGTGGCCATTATGAACGTGTTCTAAGTGAATTGTAAGTAGGTGAAACTGGAGTTGAGCTCCCTCTAGATTTAGTATTATTTAAAGACTTACCCGCATTGTAACTTAAAAGGAGAATGGCAGAGAAATCTATCATTTTGCACATCTTTGTCCATTATTAAATGTTTTCTCTTTCTTTCTCTTCTGTTCCTCTTTGAAGGTTAGAGAGAGCAAACCACAGAGGAACACAGGGTGCTACTGTTACCATTATTCATGCAGTGACACAGTGTGCAGTATTATTTCATTGTGCTGTAGTTGTCTGTTTTGTAGAGGTATCCTGATTTCATTTGGGATGTCTGAAAACAAATCCTATATCATTAGACAGGAAGTAAGCCTCGCTACAAAGATAAGAGGCCATGCAGAGATCTGTCAACTACATCTGAATATGAGACGGTCCGGGCGACAGGCCAAACACAAGGGTGAAAGGAGGAACAACTGCGGGATCAGAACAAAGAACAACACCCATACACCTAATCATGCTCCAGCCATATAAGTTTACATATGGATTTTAGAGTCAGACAAGCCGAGCGAGGGTGAATAATTGAGAAAATCCTTTTTAATACATCCCTTAGACTCCATCTTAAGTTAGAAAGCCTTCTTGCTGATGTAATCTTAGAGGCAATCACAATGAAATAAAAACACAGGTCAAAGTTACAAAGGTCTGCTGAAGTACTGCACCAGCAGTACTTTTAGTGGTGCGAATGTAGTCAAAAGTAAATACAGTTGCATGTATTGGGTCTCGGAGAATGCCTTCTTGTGATGTGTCTTACACGCACACTTTTGGAACCCTGTTTTACGTTATTTGACCACTCCAATGGAGTGGTTAACGTTTTCTTCTTTTAATTCTCCTCACCTATCTTGACACAAATTCTCTTGAATATAGTTTTTTAACTAAGTTCATATTTTGTGTACCATTCTGTATTCATACGTGTAGACCAGCTGTCATTTTCTTATTCTTAACCTGCAGTTAGTTATCTTCTGATGGTGAACCAAAGGCAGGAGTTACAATCATTAGCACTGTTCTAATGATTTCATTTTAGCACTTTGGCCTCAAGGACACATCTACATATGAGGAAAGAGATAAAATAGATTGCAAGTTTGAGAGCGAGCTGATAATAAGGCCTCTCAAAGGCCATCATGTTTCCTCTTGATTAACACTGTCCAGAGGTTAAATTAGGATTTATTATTGGGGGATGGGACAGTTAGACCATGTCAGTTTCTGTGACAAATGCAACTTTATATTTCATTGAAGAGACAAAATTATAGGTATATTGCAGAAACATTACAAAGCACAATCACTTGGGCCGTTTATTTTAAAGATAATAATTCTGTTATGTTCTCAACTCAACACAGTGTGACATTACATTGTTTAATCTGAATATCAGAAAGAATTTAGAGGTAAACATTTGCTTGAGTGTTCCAAGTTTGCCTACCTTTGCAAGGTTAAAACATCTAACTGGTGGTAAACAATGACAGTACTTGTTATTACAGAATGAGACTGCGCTTAAGTGGGAGTTGAGTGTTTTTTGTTTTTTTTTCGAGCTAGAAAAAATATAGCTAAGAAGCTTTTTACTCTCATGACTAAACTGTTTTGCATAATTAAAACACATACTGTTTTCAATGTCAATGATAAAGAGAATATACTGGGGTATATGCTGTTTATGTATATGCTGTTACATTCATTATGATGACTTGGATTATTCAAATAGGTTTGTTTAGCTTGCTAAGCTTAAGGCGGCTCATTTATGCATGGGTGCCCAGAGGAAGATTGCAACTATCCTTCCTCTGTCTAAACCTGAGACTCCCTGTGCTGGGTAATAAGCCTGCTATGATAATCAATCATAGACAGATTTTTTCCCAGCAAATTTTAAATCCAAATTATACCAGATCTACCATTCCCAGTTCTATATTCTGCTCTTACACTATTTTTTGTGTTTGTGCGTTGTGATTACTGTTCAGCCTGTAGCACCTGAAATGTATTTGCTCTCTTTCATACTCTTCTCTGTCCTTGCCATCTCAACAGCTCTGATGCACTCAATGCCTCTCACAGTAATTGAGAGCCTATTCTGTGAGAATATTTTTGTAAACACTGTTTTCTTCCTATTGTTTTGTTTTGTTTTTATTTGTCTATTTTTTGCTCTGTGTCTCTAGATAGACTAAAAAAATTTGCCTTTGTAAATTTTCAGAGAACCAGATCCCCCATGGCTTTCCCACAATCGATATGGGTCCTCAGCTGAAGGTGGTTGAAAAGACCAGAACTGCCACCATGCTGTGTGCTGCCAGCGGAAACCCGGACCCGGAGATCTCCTGGTTCAAGGACATGCTTCCTGTGGACATCAGCAGCAGCAACGGGCGCATTAAACAGCTTCGTTCAGGTACAATTTAAGTTGATCTGATTTAATGAATCAGTGTTGACATACTGATAATGTAAATACAGCAGAGGTAGGTTGCAGGGTACAAGACGGCTTCAAATACCAACAGATGAGTCATGTTAGACACCAGGATGATGTGAAAACACAAAAGCCCTTTGTTTGTCATGTATGACTTCAGGTATTCTCTTTCATCACGAAAGACATAAAAGTTTTATTCAAAGTTTGTCACCTTGATAAGTTACAGAATTTCATTCCTCACAACAGCTGCAGCCACTTCTAAAGTAACACAGAAGTTGGAATGAAGTTGTTCCTGCGTTCCTGCAATCTTTGACAGTGATGCATGAGCTTGTAACCGTCCAAAGTACAGAAAGAGAATTTTTCACCATATTAAATAATCCTTAATCCCCTTTTAAACATGCAGCTGGGTGACAATGAGGCCGGCCGATGATGCATTAGCCAGGATTCAACTTTGCAAAAAAAAAAAAAATCAATGAGGTGCTCTTTGTTCACAGTAGCAGTGCACTTGATAAATAAACGGTGCTTGGCTGACCTGGATTAGATGGAAAACGGTGCAAGGTGGAAAGATTAGTGGCTTTTGACCAGGTGCAGCCCTGTCACTCCTTACTAAATCTACCTCACTTAGAGAGTGTCAGGCCAAGCTATAGGTCTGAGGCCCCAAAGATTAAAGATGAGAGCTACTCCAGAAAAAGCCTGGCGCTACAGCTGCCCAGTGGAAGCTGAATACAGGTCACTGGAGCATGTTCACTTGGACTGTCCATATTCCTGAAATATTAAAAATGTGGCTCAACTACAAGCGCAGCCCAAATTAGATACAGATTTCTCACAAATTAGATACTAACTCAACTACTTAATTGTTTGATAATGTTTTTTATAAGAAAGATAAAACTGAGCCTAAAACTGTGATTTTTTTTTTTCATCTAGCAACAAACTTTTAATTAGTTTTCTTTCTTGCATATAGTGAGAGTGCCTGAAAATGTGCTGATATGCAATGCCCTCAGACTAACAATTCTTTTTATCCACAACCCTTTATTTGACATCTGCTGCCGTAAAAAAAAAAAAGCGCATTAATTTGCTGCCAAAGTTTAGCAGAAAAGGCAGACACAGTTAGTCTTATTGCATCACGCTTGCTCAATTGTGAGCACACAGACACATTTGGTCTATCTTTTCACACCATCCAGTTCATTCACTCTGTAGAGATACTAACTTCTTTTCAATTTAATACCTCTGACCTGAATATTCTGTGCATCATTCGATTTTACTGTGTATGACTTTCATTCATTTCTCTTGGCCATTTTACTAACTGCTTTCTGCACAAATGCAGTCTGTACAAAGAGTGGGGGTCATATTAAATTAAAAAGCTTTATAAAATGCTAGAAAATGTATGCTATTTTAATGTTGCGATGAAGCAAGGACAAATGTGGCTGTA